TGTATCATCACGAGTACGTCGTCTACTATTACTATATAGGTCGGTTCGGGTCGTCTACTTTACTTTAGTTGTAGTACGACCTACTCTCACAATACTATTACTATATATATATATATATATATATATATACGGAAAAAGTTGGGATTAGCCCACTAGTTCATTTGAACATATGAACCCAATCTGGGCCGATCTGATGGTCACTACATCATTTTGTGTTTGAATTTTATTTTATTTTTCTACAAATCCAAATCACTTGAAATTTTAGGCATGTGTTCTTCTCATCAAGACGCACCTAATAAAAATATAAAAAATGTATTCGCGAAAAAACAAATGACCAAAATACCTCCAAAAATTTTTGGGGGTATTTTGGTCAATTTATTTCATGTAAAATATTTTTTTGAAGATTCAACTATTTTTTATGAATATATTCCTAAAATTTCAAGTGATTTAGATTTATAGAAAAAATATTAAAATTCAAACGCTACCGAGCATCCGCGATCGTTAGATTGGCCTAGATTCAATCTGGGCCATTGGGCTCACATGTTTATATGAGCTAATGAACTAATCTCAGCTTTTTCCTCTATATATATATATATATATACTAAAAGTTGGACAATATGATCTAGCATATTGTAGATAGTTTTTTAATTTTTTTTTTCTCACCAATTAGAACACTTATAATGGTCCAAATATAATTAATTCAACTCAAGATAAACAAATAAGCAACCAAAAGATGTTCTCATTGCTACCACTAATTACAATTTATTTTATTCAGCAAATAAAACCAATACAATGCCTATGGAAATAAGAAAATATAAAAAATAAAATATTGCAAACCACAAAGCAAGATGCTAAAAAATTACCTCAATTGAATATAGTACACCCCACACCGAGTCTCCTCCTCCAATGGTGCACGGGAGTGGGCTACAAAATTGAGAAAACTAAAGCTACACCCTTAACAATATGAAAGCATGGAACAATTGTCATCAATTCAAGTCCTTAATGCCATAGTAGCAATGGGATGTGCCCCTTCTTGTACCTAGCTTGGGTCGCGCCCCCTTCTTTGATTTTTAAACTAAACTAAGAGAGATATGAGATCAGATATAGAGAGAGAGATCCTAAGGGTGGTGTGCCACCCTTATAGGGGGAGAATAGAGAGAGATGAGAGGTGTAGACAGTTATGGAAGAGAGCCCCTAGTTATAGAGTTTTTAGGGGTTAAGGTTTCCCTAGAGTTAGTCATCTTTAGTGAGATTATATCCAGACTAACGATCACAAGATACCTGTGGGGTGAGAGATCTGAGTCATCCAATCATTAGATCAGCCATCATGAATCAAAAGAATATACTAGAACCTTATCCTTCAGCTTCCGAAACCTAATCCCATCAAATAATAAATTATAAAAAATATTATCAATCTTATAATTTGTCAAATTCTTACACATAATATATTGATTGAAATCAAACTTATATTATTTTAAATCATACTATATTATTTTAACTTGATTTGCAAGCCTAGGTGGCTTAACCATATTTTAGTAAGTAAAATTTCCATTGAGTGAGGCATGCCACCTTAGGTGGGCTTAGAGCCCCACACAATTTCTCCATATGATATATTTTATGGTGGGCCCCCATATAATTAGTGAATAATAAAATTCATAAAATGATTTTTAGAATATTGGATATAAACTTTATTTCTCATTGATTATTTAAATACTGAAAATTGAATATATTTTAAGTTATAAATCTATTTTGTAAAAAAAAAAAAAAAAATCCAAAGACTCACAAAAATTCAAATAATCAAATTTAAAAATAATTTAACATTAAAAATAATTAATTCCAAATAATTTTGATAGCAATTGGATTTGACTAGGTTTATGAATTATAATATTGTTGAAACACTTTAATCTTCTACTGTGGACTATAATGCATACTTGCTTTCTCACATTGACTCAATAGTTTTCATGACCCACATACCACTGTAGGGATTCATGATTAGGCTACCAAAGTTAGCCAATAGGCAAGGGGACACAATTGTAGTCTATAGATTACACGTTATCATCTAGAGAAGAGTCCAAGGTCACACAGACCTGATGTAACAATAACTCTATGGTGCATGGGGATAATCTCTCGCATATGTACATGTTTTACCCTTCAATGATGACTCGCTTTCCTAATAGGCTATTATGTGTACATGTCATGTGATGGTTCAATGATGAGCTTTTGACCCTCATCTCTAGAGGGCTACCATCATACATATACAGTCTCTTGCTTACTCTCTCAGGCAACTCTGACCTCATCAAGGGATGACCCTGTAAACCCTCATCGGTTTTATTCTATGCTCAGGAAATTAGAGTTTTTCAACTCCACTGGCTTAATACGTCAAGCCAAATCTGAGTATTAGCAAATAACATTTGCATATCTTGCTCCACAAAGGACCATACTTCCATTGAGTTTATGTTTCACTATATCAAATATTTGAATACAAGCTCTCATAAGGCCTTTAATGGCAACAAAAACCCAACATACATGGACACGCACACCCCAAGTACACACGTATATCATGGCACCTGTAAATAATTGTGGTACCATTGAAGTTGTAGTGTTTGGTAAGCCATAACATTCTCCATAATCATATGACATGTCATCATCATCCAAGCCCTATCCCAATTATTGGGGTGGGCTACATGAATCTTGCTATTCCATTATTTTGTATCAAAGGTGACACCCTCAGTAAAACCAAAAGTCGTCATATTTTTTCTCACGACTTCTATCCATATCCTTTTCGATTCCTTTTGCCCTGTTAGAGCCTTCTATTTGAACCAAATCGCCATTCCTAACTGTTGATGTATTAGGTCTTCGCTATACAGGGCCAGCCCACCTAAGTCTACTTTCCCTTATCTTATTGCCTATTGCAGTTACACCTATATCTATCGTATGCATTCATTATGAATTCTATCCTTTTTATCTTTCCACTCATCCATGTCAACTTCCTCATCTTAGCTACACTCATACCATGGATATGTTGTTTATTGATCGCCCAACATTATGTCTCATAAAGCATAGTTTATCTTACAACCATCTTATCGAAGTTCTCCTTCAATCTCAATGGTATGCGATGATCACATAAAACTCCAGATGTACATCTCCACTTTGCCTACTTAACTCTATTCTATATGTGACATCTTCCTCAATCTCTTCATTCTCCTGGATTATTGATCCTAGATATTGGAAGCAATCTATTTTAGGTATTTCTTGAACATCGATCTTAACTACTTCTACATTTCTACTCACTTCTACATTTCTACTCTTATTATTGGTACACTTTCATTCTATTTATTCTATCTTAGTCCGGTTAATTTTAAAACTTTTAGATTCTAGAGCATCTCTGTAACATTCTGGCTTTGCCTTGATGCTGCCTCTAGTTTCATAAATCAAAATTGTCATTTGCAAACAACATACACCACAATACCTCTTCTTGTAGGTGTATGGTTAACTCATCCATAACCAAAACAACGAGATATAGGTTCAACGCCGACCTTTGGTAAAGGCCCATTATCATTGGGAACTCATTTGTCTCTCTAGTAGTTGTTTGCACACTCATTAGCGATCTCTTTGAATTTCAAACTTTTATTGTCGGTGTTGGAAATTGATTTTAGAGCCATCATAGATATTTACATCGTCGAAATCATTTTCCTGATGAGGATTTGAGATGAGGCTTTATTTTGTTGTCATAAAGCCTAGGCCTTATAAAAGCCTCATCCTAAAAAGAACAATATTTCTTTTTCTTTTTTTTTTTTTTTAAATTTTTTATTTTCTTATGTGGGGCAAGGCATATGTGGTCATCTCATAATCCCATCAATTGAGACCACTTTGTAGCCAAATATATATCATCAGTAGAAACCATACCAAAGACTTAAGTGGGCCATCGCTAGGAGAAAACAAGCTCTGCCATGAGTTGCTCCCGTAGGTGTATATTATAGCATAAGTCTAGATAATATGAGTCCTTAAGAATAATGATGATGAAGCCTTAGGGTCTAACTAAAGTTCTATGGCATGTGATAGAATAAAATAGCGAAACATAGTTTATGTGGCTGATTCCAAATAATTGGGATACAACTTGGATGATGATAAAAATGAAGCCCCTAAGGATATAACAAGGCAAGGGAAAGTTTACTATGTCATCTAAAAGGTGGTAAAGTATAGTCCAATGGCGTTATCACATTTAATAAATCAATTTTAATGAAAAGGGAGCCATACCCATTAGAGTAGGACATAAGTGAATCAAATGATGAGGCCCACCGCTTCTTTAGGACTATCTCCGTGTGGACAATGATAATCAGATTTTCCATAGCCTTTAGGATTATAGATCTCAATAACCCTTAATAGCCTACACGCCTGTGCGGCATTAACGCTTTAGAATTTGTACTCCGGTTAAGATTTGCGAAGGTCCTGAGGCAAGTTAAAACGACTCAACCAAATCGGACAACCCAATTCTACCAGTCTAACAAAAATCATATAAGAATCATAAACTGAAGTTAGACTCACCCTATCAATAGAGTTTGTCATTTGCAAGCATCTACCTGGTCTGAGTGACACAAGTGTGTCTAAACCCATGTCGCTAAGCTTTCAAGCACTGGGGAGTATTGTACTTGCATATAGTATTGAACCCCAATAGGTACCCCTGTTTAAATTGTTTTTCCCACCAAAGCCCAAAGTAAGCACGCTGCTTATGCAATTTGAGAGGGTTTAAGGGTTGGGACTTGGGGCTTGCCCAATTGATCTGAGCATAGCAAGCACATCTAATGAAGATTATCTTATATGTTGAAATGTGGAATTCAACAAATTCCAAATTCCAAGTCATTTGTTTTGACATAGATTTCTTAGGGAAGCTAACTAGAGTTTTATTCATCAACATCAAAGCCTCATTTCAACTATTTTAATTGGCTGCACAAATCTTGTTTTTCCATTCTGTTTTATCAAAAGTCATACCCTCAATCAAACCTTAAGTCACCGTATAGCTTCTCACAACTTCTATCTATGTCTTTTTGGGCTTTCCTCTTTCTTTTTTCGAACAACTTGAGTCTCTTTGCTTTTTTTAATTTCAAAATAAGCAAAGAAGATGCTATACATACAAAAGGAATACATGATATTAATAAAGTCCACTACCAATAATAATAGACATCAAATTAAATGCTCGCAGTTTACAACCCTTTATCATCAATTTGGTAAAAAGTAAGCCATGACAGAGATCATCCATTTTATGTTCTAAACTGGATTGGAGGACGGTAGTTTGAAGGACAGGGCTCATTGTTTCAGTAGTTTGAAGGACATAGCTAATTGTTTCCGACATCCAGGTCTCTCTCTCTCTCTCCCTCTCTCCCTCTCCCTCTCTCTCCCTCTCTCTCTCTCACACACATTTTAATTAACACTTGAAATGGCTTTATGAGTTGTAACGCGACAAGAGAATGGGTTTCAAATAACAGTGTAAGAAAGCTTCAGTCTCTTCCCATCTGGGTCATCCACAACAAGGTCCCTTAAGGAACATGGCAATTAACCTCCTGCTGATGCATCAATTTACTGTGTCAATTTGCTAAATCATCTCACAGTCAGTCACGTGAAGTAGGGAAATGGATCCCATCACTGCGATGTCCGCTGCTTATTGGGCACACCCACATTAACATATTTTGGCCTAGCACCTAGATATACGATACACGAAACACAATTAAAATGAATGAATAGTATGCATAACAAAAACCTGACAGGTTATACATAAACCATAATTGCAAAGATGCAAAAAAAAAAAACATATGAATACCGAGTTGAGATTCTTGCAGACACCAAGGTCATATGGATGGTGATAGTTCTGACCAGCTTTCTTGGCAAGCCACTTGGCCCTAACCCCCGCACGATACTGGAATGAGCAACTAAGAGAAAAAAAGAATCAGCATGTAGATCAGGGGAACAGATCATGATGTCATGGTGTTATAGGCATCATGATGACCCACCTCTATGGTTGTCATGTTACGACAAAGGAGGTAGATTTGCCAACCCAAGAGACTGTCAAGCACCAAGCACAATGAAACTATGATTGCCCCACAAAATACCTGACAAGTACAATGTTAATAAAACTCCATATTGCAAAAAACATAAATACAACGTAACTACAGCTGAAAAACACGACCTCTCTTCTCCAGATCACCTTGTCATTTTCATGAATCTCAAGAACGAAAACCCAAGCTCCTGGGTCTTAACGTCCCCTTTTTAAAGTTTGAATCAAGATATATTGTCATAGATTACTTAATGACTTAACCATTAGTCAATTTTTCTTTCTTAATTTCTCGAGTTTTCTGATTTATCAATTTATCTTAAGTTCTTGATAACGAGGATTGTGAGATAATAGGAAGACCGAGTTGAATTCATGTCCCAAACTTTGCAACCTTTATTGTGGATTTCAGATTGTCTGATACAAATAAATTTTTGAAGTCATTTCAAGCAAAAACGAAGATTTACGTTACTTATAGACTTTAAATCTTGGACAAGACTCATGAATTATTCATTTGTCTTACATTTCTTTTCTCCTCTTTCCATACAAAATATTCTCCGAAAAGGACCCAAGTACTTCAGTTATCTTCAATGCCTCAAACCCATGTACCCTAGCACCTCCATTGCCACCTGAAACTTGCGTAGTACAGAAGAATGACAAATTTCTAGAATATTAAAATAAATACCTCACAGGTTTATGAATATGGAACACCATCATACATGGTGTAAACTACAGTTTTGATAGTTTCTGAAATTTATTTCAGAATGTGAGAGATAATGAACTGGAAGGTAAGACACCCATGACCTCTTTTTCTTTTTTTTTTTGAATATGACACCCATGATCTCATTCCTTCAATATCTTAGTATCTCGGTATATCTACATGGCCTAATTGTATACCTAATTTTCTCTTTTGTCCTTTTTCTTTTTCATTATATCATTGCTTCAAATCACATTTTTATGAAATTCTTTTCTAGAAATCCATATACGTGTTTGTGTGCGTGTTCAAACTCACTGAACAAGGTCGAAATTTTTCTTCCGAATGCATGAAAAGCTACTTACATAAAAAACATTGTATGCGAGAGTAGAGAATTGATCATACTTCTGCAGGGTATTGCATAGAAATATCACCTGAAAAACCCAAAGACTTTACTGTTTAGGAAATTCTTTTTCCAACTTTTAAGTCAGCTTAATTGTAAATGAAGAACATTCGATGATGTACCATGGAATATGTGCTTGCTATGCCAGAATACAAGACAGAGACAAGGAAGGGCCTATAGTTTCCATGACCCACACAGTTATTTATCCAGATACAGTGATGGTCCTGCATGCAACATGTCGCGGTTATAGATAAATGAAAAATTTTATAAAGAGAAAGTGGAGAGGAAGAGGTACCCAATAAAATATTCTACATAACATTTCTAAAAATCTACATAAATTTTTAAACTGGAATGACCAATCTCATGAAAAGAAATGGGAAAAATCTGGAAATATAAATATGTCACAGACCATTCACGGCACATACCGCTTAATAAAAATGGATTTTTATTAAGAGAAAATGGACAAGGAAGAGGCACATAATAAAATATCATATATAAAATTTCTAGAAAACTATTCCATATAAAATTTCTAGAAATCTACATAAAAGTTTTAGAACTAGAATCACCAATTTCAAGAAAAGAAATCGGAAAATTCCCGAAGTATAAAAGTGTCACAGACCATTCTCAGCACACACCTCCTGCAGACACGACAGTGGTGTGCTCGTGGAGGCTTGTGATGGCAACATTTCTCACAATACCTTTTATGTGCACCCTGTCGACATTAAGTGTAAATTTCAGTCTTGGATGTAAATAAAATCTCAGAAGTAAGACAAACAGAAAGAAAACGGTTTATCTCTAGTAATGTAAAAATGGACTACCATACCAATTGTAACATCAAAACATATTATTTAAAGCTTCGAAAAATGATATAAGAGTGATTGAGGATCACTATAAAAGAAAAAGAGCCATCTAGATTATGAAAACCGAGAGCCTGACAGAACAAAAGAGCTAATTGATTAAGTAACAGAACTCGGCTAAATACTTGCAGTTCCAAGTCAATGAAATCATTCAATACTCCAATTATATGATGTTTTCAGCTGGAAATTTGTGATGTCCGCAGATAATGGGCATCCAAAGCAAACAAACAATCTCTAGTTTAGAAATATGACTTCTGCACCTGACCTATATTTGCTTCAATGTTCAACACTGACCAATTGAAAAAATGTGTTTTAACAATCAATAATATCCAACATTTACTTCCACTGAATAATATACCATTCTGAAAGTCGTGAAAGTAGTCCAATATGGTCGAAAGGAAAATGATAATTACATAGTAGACCACAAAAAGAAATAGGTAGGTACAACCATTCAAGTTGAATGAATTCTCTGTGAATTTATCTGACGCCTGCTTTTCACAGGGAAGCCCATGCCAGGACATGTGCAAGTAGGAATTAACCCAAAATTTGAAGGACATTGAGATATAGAATGCGCTGCATCCTTAGAATAGAAAAGAATGTGTACAGCATGCTCTCGCTGGAGCATATGTAAACTTCTCCATGGAAAAGAGCTACTTAGGACAACTATTTCAATCTGAAATTTTGGGATCCCCAACATTTTTTAGATCCATTTTTCCTTTTTGAGGTTGGTCACTAGGTTGAAGAGGTTACATAAAAAATTCGAGTCCTAAAACAGAGGAAGTGGATGGAAGAAATGCTCCCACGAGAGCATAAAATCTTTTGACTGTAGAAAAAAGGAAATGTTTATTCTTTATACAAGGGAAAGAGAATGAGACCACTGCATGAATCACCTATGACAAGAATTTGTTCACAGATGGCAACGGGAGTGGAAGAACCAATCTTCCTTTCATGTGGAGAGGGGAATGAGTTGCCCCATCTTCCTTAAGACAAAAACTAATATGCAAGCTTGCTAAACAAATCCCACAAACCGGACAGGGATGGTAGGTTCAAGGCAACCTACTATTCATAAGAGTGTTTTGTTTTTTAGGTAATTGTTGCGATACTTTTCAAGTTGCTATTTCTGGAGTTCGAGAGGAATCATTTGAGAATTTACATTAAAAAAGGAACCTGCAAAAAATTCATAAAAAATCACGTAAATGGCCCTCGAAGGAGTAGCTGCTTAATGTAGACATGCACATGCAGAATTGTGGTTCACTTAAAGAGGGCCACATGTCAAAATGGACCCTCAAAAGATGCCACAAGGTGCAACAGCTTGGGCACTAGCCAAACTTGCAACTCCAATTGTTAGGGAAAAGATGACAGGAAGAATTAGCATCGCACTAGGTGGATCCCTCTAGTCTCGCTGTCTCCCCAGATTTGTTGCCAAGAAGTTGCTGGCCCTATAATCATGCCATGCCTAAAACTAACAATTTAGGGGGAGCAAAGTTCCATAGAAATATGTGAATCACTAAGATGTATATCAGTGATTTAAAAACACAAACCCAATCATGGACACGCTATGGTCCCAATCCTGAGTTAGGTCGTTCAACATGGCCGAGCCTTCGTGAAAAATACAGTAGGGTCCAAGACAAGGTACAACTCAGGCTGAAAAAATGCGAACGGGCACCCTACAGGGTCTGCCAGTATGCGCAAGCCCAAGTCAGTGTTTCAAAAAACGGACCGTCCAATGCCTAGGCGGTTCAAGGGACCTGGGTGCATCGCCCAGGCCTAGGCACCAAAAATAGGCAAAAAACCCTGGGTGCCGAGGAACCCGCCTAGGCGGCCGCCCAACGCCCAGACCTGGGTAGCTGCCTAGGTACTGCGCCCCGCCTAGAGGCAGAATAGACGCTCGATAGGGGCATTTTTTGTCATTTTTTCATACTAAGGGACCAAAAATGTGGGTTTAGGTTCATTTGAAACCTAAAACTCATTAGAGCCCATTTTATAGAGAGAAAGCCCCCAAAAAACTAGTTTTTGGTGATTTCTTTAGGATTGAAGGGTTTCTCAAAGGTATGAGAAATTGATCAAAACATCATCCATTGATATTAGATTTAATTTTTAATGTTTTATAAATCTATTGGGGGTTTTTTCAAAAACTTTTGAGTCCTTAGAAGCATCTTTAAGTGGAAGTTTGATGATTGAGCAAACAAACTCAAAGTAGGTGATTTTTTTTTATTGCTTGTATAACTTGTATTATTTTGAGATGTCTTCTTCGAAATCTCATAGGAGTGGTGATCCCGGTTGGAAATATGGCTACAACCCAGATCCTAATGATAAAAATTGCATAATATGCAAGTTTTGTGAGAAGAATATAAAAAGGGGCATAAACCGGTTCAAGAAACATCTTGTCGGTATCAGGGGGGATGTTGCCCCGTGTAAAAAGACTCATGATACTATTAAAGAGGAAACAAGCAAGTTTTTGACTATGGTAAAAACAAAAAAAGATGAGAAATTTGCCTCCATAGCAAAGATTAGGTCTGGGGTTTGGGGCAGTTATGATGATAATGATAGTAATGAGGATGGGGAGAGATGTCAAGAGGTAGAACAACCCATTATTAGGGGAAAGGGAAAGGTAGTTGTAATTGCTTCTGGTTCTGAGAGTAAGCAGCCTCGGGTTAGAGGCTCTATGGGTAGTTTTTTTCCCTGGCCTGACCCCAAGGTTGCAGGAGAGAAAACAAAGAAGCAAACCATTATTGAAAATAGAATGAAGAAGGAAGAGAGAGATAAAGCTGTTTTTTTTATTGCTAAATGGTTTTATGAGGCGAGCATGCCTTTCAATACTGCTTGCCTAAGTAGCTTTTATGCCTTGGTAGAGGCAATTGGCCAATTTGGGCCTGGGATGAAACCCCCAACCCCATATGAGCTTTCAAATTCTCTTTTGAAAAAAACAGTGAGTGTCACACAGGATGCTGTAGAAGTTAAGAAGGATGTGTGGGCTCAGTATGGAGTTTCTATTATGACTGATGCTTGGAGTGATAGGAAAAGAAGAAGTCAGATGAATTTGCTTGTGAATTGTCCTTTAGGGTCTGTTTTTTTGAGCTCTATTGATGCATCTGATTATACCTATGACGCCCATTACATATTCCAAGTTATAGAGAAGGGAATCAAGGAGGTTGGGGAGCATCTTATTGTACAGGTTTTCACAGACAATGCTACTCCTAATGTTGCTGCTGCTAATTTGTTGCGCATAGCTTATCTTAGAATCATTTAGACACCATGTGCAGTACATTGTATAGACGTCATGCTTGAGGCTCTTAGTGGTTCACCCTCAGCATGATGTGTAGATTTACAAAGAAGAAAGAGATTGTGAGGCCTGGGGTCACGAGATTTGAAACCTAGTACTTGTACCTAGATAGCATACATTCGAGGAGAGTGCAGTTGAGATAGATGTTTACCTTGGATGACTGGAGAGCATGTAAGTAGTCCAAGGATCAAGTTGGGAAGAAGGTGAGAGATATTATCCTTTCTAAGCCTTTTTGGCGAGGGGTGAAGGGTGCTCTTAAGGTATTTTTTCCTCTTGTCAAAGTCCTCCGCATGGTTGATAGTGAGAAGGCTTCTATGGGCAAGATATATGAGCCTATGGAGAAATGCAAAGGAGAGAGCCCAAAATTTTGATGATGATGAGAACCGCTACAAGCCTGTTTGAGAGATTTATTGATGAGAAGTGGGATAGGCAGCTACATCGGCCATTGCATGCAGCTAGTTATTATTTGAACCCAGTTTTTTTTTATGTTGACAAGGATATACACACAAATGACTGGATTTAATAAGTGTGTAGATGTGCTAGTCCCTGATCCTGATATTCAGGATCTTAAATGCGCTAATGAGCTAATAAATTACAAGTGCTCATTAAAGTTTTTTGGGAGTCCAATAACGATGAGGGGCAAAGGACCAAAATTGATCCAGGTAGTAATAATATTCTTAAGTTCATCAAGTTCAAGTAATCAAGTTTCATTTTTATAATTCTATTATTTATTTATGATTTTATTCTACATATTTGAAGCCAATTAGTGGAGCCAACATGGGTCTAGTTCTCCAAATTTACAAGAGTTGGCCATTCGAATCTTAAACCTAACCACTTCCTCGTCCGGTTGTGAGTGCAATTGGAGTACTTTTGAAGGGGTAAGGGTAATTTGTATAATTGTATTAGTAATGCATGAACTATAAATTTTAATTATTTAATATTTATATTAATTAGTTCCATTTGATTTTGTTAAATTCATACAAAGAAAGGAACATGCTTGAATCAAAGGGGCTTAATGACCTAGTCTATGTCAAGTATAATCGATTCTTGAAGGAAATGTTTGCTAAGAGAGATAAAAGAGACCCCCTTAGATAAAAAAATATAGACAATGCTATGTAGTGGTTAGTTGATGATGATGAGGTTGAGGGGCATGAAGGATTGACATGGGACATGGTCATGGATGCTTTAGGGACATCAGCCGACCCTCCTAGGGCCATTAGATCTTCTGCACATAGGACGAGGGTGGAGGAAGAGAGGCAGATTCAGAAGAGACGGAAGAGGACGACCAATATGTCGAGGAGGGTGACGACTTCGATGCATATGATGCAAATGCAGCTGACCCTACTTTCTCTAAAGATGAATAATGAATGATGAATAATGATTAAACTTTGAACATTGATTGAAGTATTACTTTCATTTTTGTTTTCTTCTTGGTTGTGTATTGTGGATAGTGGATTTATAGTTCCACTGGTTTGGTATTTGGTAACTTTGATTTGATAATTTGGTTGGTAAATTTTAAGTTTTAATTGGATATAGACCGACTTATGGTTATGCTTATGGAGTGTGTGCTAA